TTATTAAAGGGACGACAACATTAGTGCCTTACATCCCGATCTGAGAACGGCTTCGCATGCCAAGCCGGTACCCAACCAGCACTAGGTTACACGGTGAAACACCCAAGCGACCAGCGCGTCATTTTTTCATGATTCGATTGACGTCAACGTGTTTGCTACTCATTCTCGAGTTGTTGGATCTGGCGCTCGACAGTGATGCAGGCCACGGGTACGTTTGCTTCCAAATTTTCGCAAGGCCTGCTTCCAAGTGTGCATTTGCTTGCGAGTTGAGTTCAATTGTTAGCTGTCTCACAGATATGGCAAGATGATGCAAAATGCAATGCAATGATTTGTCGGAAGGTTTTCTGATGGCCGGCCCCGCCTCCTGACAGTCTCTCAGTCTTCTCATCCGTGCTTAGAGAGGCTTTTCGAGTTTTTCGTCCCTGACTAGTATGACATTCCCTTTTGTATAATTTGACGCCCCGAGATCACGATGACCGGAACCCTCACAGCCAACGGCACGCACTGGCCGGCCGCCGACCGAGCAAGGATGCACGGCTATGCAGAGCTCGTACAGTCACGTTTTCCAGCCTTTGCGTGCCGAGGACAGCCCTCCTGGTCGTGCATGCGTTGAATTCGCCGCCTTCAGCCCCTGCTAATGATTTCTTAGCAATCTTAGCACATCTTGGGGCCTTTGTGCCCTGTTTCACTTTGCCCCACTTAGGAGCAGCGACTGCGCAGGAAAAATACTGCACAGCAAAAAAGACGGCACAGCAACCAAAAAAACTCTTTTAGCAGGGGAGCGGGGTACGTGGACAAGGGGTTCAGTGCGCAATATGTCCGCTTTGATCGAGAGCGTGATAGCCGGTTGATGGCTCCGAACGCCCTCCGCGCGCTCGTAGTGGAGTATAGTACATTAGAGTAGAGTATAGCATGGTGCAGTATAGTATAGTCTAGTATAGTTTAGCCTTCTTTTATTTGGTCAAGTCTGGTATAGGTATGGCTGAAGTAGCACAGTACCGTACAGTACCGCAGCGGTTACCTGAGGCCTTAGAGTATTAGAGTAGTAGAGAATAGTAGAGCACCAGACTTGGCACCAGCAGGGCCGGCGGCGTTCACTTTGCGAGCATTGCGTTGCGTTGATTTAAGTGCAAACGTATGTCATGGTAGCTGCTAGCTATGTCGGCATGAAGTCAACAGGAAGGTCGTATTTACCGCTCATATGACGTTCCAACACCCCTGAAACCCTAGGTATGCTGAGCGTCCAAAAAGCAGTCTATATGGGGCTTTGGGATCTGTTTTTTTTCGCCAGCTGAGCGTAAAATGGGGTCCTAATAGTGCCGCGGATGTTTCTGTACGAGGCGCGCGTGCGCGGGCGTGCGTATGTACGTGTACGTATGCGTGCGTAAGTAAATTGAACCTGTAAGTGAATCGAAATTTGTCAATCTATCTATTTTCTGCGGCGCTATCGGAATTGCATCTATGAGTTATGAGGAGAGATACCTACAGGGTAATTTAGGAAAACGGTGTTAGGACCTTAGACTTTACTTTCAAACTCACGATTTTAGATTAGCGGGTATCATTCGTACTAGATGTTAAATAGTTTCAAGCTCTTACGACTCCCAAAAATCTGTACTATTTCAGGGCCAAATAGACAGGGACAG